GGGGTCCTGTTCAACCAGAAGGAGGCCAAGCAGGACTTTTATTTCTAGAGAGAAAAGAGAATTAAGTCAAGCTCATGTATAAAGTTACACAAAAGTTGTCAAGTATCTATAAAAGTTAAAAGAGTTTTGAAGTTCAAAGTTTTAAAGTTTAGTTAAGTTGTTAAACGTTTTACAGTTGATGTTAAAAGTTAAAAAGTTGAGGACAAAGTTATTTCTAAAAGAGTTGGTTTAATATGAACCACTTTATTTTGTTATACATGTTCATGTACTAAGAAGACTTTTATAGAGGTATTTTGAAAGTGTTGCTCATCTATTTTATATAAAGTCATCTATTCCATATAAAGCCATGAGTTGATAAAAAGGAATAATCATTCGATTTTAGAGTTGTTCTAAGATGGTTGTTAAACTAGGTTTGTGTGCACAAATACTGCTGCTTATGAGATTTATTAAACCCACTTTGTCAACTGTAAAGATTGTAAATTTTATATAAGAATACTGAATAAAGGATGTGGCTCTGATTCAAAATCTTAAGTTTTCAAATGTTGTTGTGTGGAAACTTTAATACATTAAGACTTAACAGTTTCAGGGACTGAAAACTCTGGGGGGAGGTCATGTGATGAATCATCAACTATACGTTTTATACATTAACATGAACTGTATAGTGACTTTTCTTTAGTGCCCAGTCACTCATACTAGAACATCAGCATTTAATTGGCCAGCGCTGTTAGTGGGCGTGGCTTAAGTCATCTACTAAGCAATACTGCATTTTCATTGGTTGAGGCACCTTGTGTACTTTAGTAATGAGGGGCATTTATTGTATGTGAATGTATATGACCATGTTGGCCTATAAAAGGCACAGTTCGAGAGAATAAATCTCACTTCTTCGCCTGGTGGGACCAAAGAAGTCAAAGAAGTCTCCTGTCTCTGTTTTATTGTCTAAGTGTCACTAATTAGGGTGTAAGTCTCCCCCACTTGAGCCACTTCAGCCACTAGAGCCACTCGAGCCACTTGAGCCACTTAAGCCACTGGTTAGCCACCCTGAGCCACCGGTCAGCCACCCAGAGCCACCGGTCAACCTCCCAAACCACAGGCTAATCCACCCAAAACCACAGGTTAATCCACCCAATCCCCTAAATCCCAAACACAAGTTGAGTTAGCGCTTTCCCCTGGTGGAACAGAGTTGGGAATGCTGTTCGTCACTTGGTAATGTGGCCTCCAACCGCAGGTGCTTCAACTCCATCGGGACTGGGCCAGAGAGGCAAGGGACCGACTAGGCGACGCACGTTACATAGCTATGCTGGGCATATCTTGGCTAGAGGTGCAAGTTGGTCGAACCACACACCAAGTGAGGGCAGTCTTCACTGATATGAAGAATAGTATCCTGGGCATGGATTTTCTCGTGCCCACGGGTGGAAATTTGAATTTCCAGTTGAGAGATTTCATATTGTTAAAATTCACTGACCCGTATCATCTTAACTTAGTAATATATAACATTTATGAATCCTCTTTATGGCAGCATCGAAATAAATGTATCTATAAAATGAACAGAGAGTGGCAGCTCAGTGGTGATGAGCGAATCAAGTGCACAAATGGTGCAGCCGTGCAGGTGATCAATATATTGTATTCTTACAATGCCGGTTTGCAAACACTGTTGCGCATGCGTCTAATTTGCATACATTTTGCATATTAGATTGCGCCCCATTCCTTTTCGTTTTCTGTACTCTCGGCACGGGTGGGAATTTCTTTTCCGTGGGTGGGATGCTCGAAAGTCATGAATAATTCAATAGTTTCGATCAGGCCAGTATGTTTATTCATGAACAGAACAACGATATCAAGAGCATTGTTGTTATTTGGTCAACCGGTTACATTAAAGCATTTTAGCAATTTAAAGAACGGTTGTCGTCGAGAATTTGCTTTTGGAGTGGGGAATTCAATGTTTTTGCCGCGGACAATTTGCTTTTGCCGTGGAGAATTTATTTTTGCCGTGACAGTTGTGGGCCACCACACTACCGTCTTCACACGTTACCCGGTCTCGCTGCTACCCGACAGCGATATTTTTTTTTCCGAACGCCTTTTTTTGTACACATGCATATGGGTGTATTCGAAGTACGTCGAGTTGCAAGTCAGGTTCTCGGACTTTATTTTCCCTTGCAAAAAAATCCTCCAAACCACATATTGGTAAAATAAGAGAAAAAAATAAGTAAAAAAGAAGAAATTAACCCAAAAAAGCATGCAATGAGAATCGAACTCGCACCATCGGATTTGAAATCCAATGTAGTATCCATGACACTACAGCAGTGACTCGGTCGTAAAAAGCAGTAGTTTTACTACATACTATTTTACGTAGTACTATTGCATATATAGGGCCCTCCAGCATAAATCTATATATACTAGCGAGTGTGTGGTATGGAAAAAATAATCGCTACCCGCGATACCCGGCAACCGTCGATTGTACCACTTTGTACTTGTTCATATTATCTCTTTGTTTGTGAGTTACCTTTTTCTAATTGGGACACACTGTAGAGAACACTGGGCAACCCACTATATTGGGTGTTAATTTCGACGTACTTACGCATAGGCCTACGCACTAATACCAACACGGGAACTAGTCTGGTTCCCAGACCAAAAGATTCTGACTATCTCAGGTCAGGTAGCCGCTAGTAATACATTTTATAGTCTGGTTCCCAGACCTGACAATTATTCTGGACGCTCACGTCTAAATTGTAGGTCAAGCAGCCTCCGTGGCTAAAAATAAACAGGACGACATTGATGTCCCTTTTTCAAATCTCGGCTTCGTTTCCGATTTTGCTTTGTCACTTATAGCTTTTAATTTTCTGATCAAATTTTTAATTACATCACTTGCTTCGTAATATCATACAGTTATGATAATACAGTTTGATATTTCTGTAAGATAACATTGACTTATGTTGATCTTGAATCTTCACACTTAGGCACCCAAATAGCACTGTTAGCAGGCCGAGCCGAATGAAGACCGAGTTTTAGAAAATCACGGTAACGGTCGTCAAATTCAAAATAGTAGGCCTACATCTTCTTCTTCTTCATTCATTGAGTTTCATGATGACTCGATGAGTTGGGCCCAACTGTCCCCGTCGAGCATAGTGTTGGAAAGAGATGGACCACTCAGACCATGCAGTTTCTAGCTCGATGGATGTTTTCAGGGTCCTGTTTGGACGACCTTTACGTCGAGGGGCTTCAGGATTCCAGAGGAGAACTTGACTAGCTGGCTCATTATGTCGATAAACGTGACTGGCTAGCCAAAGGCGACGCTGTCTGATGGTGGTGGAGATAGGGGGAAGGGCACCATACAGAACAGAGTTAGGGAGATGTTGTTGCCGAGGAACGTTCTGAACAGCCCGCAACATCCGTGTATAGGTGTCATCAATGGATGCATAGATTTGTTTGGTCTGGGTCCAGGACTCGCAACCGTAGAGGAGGATGGATTCTACTGAGATCTTAAGTTTGGTGGTCTTGGAGATCGAGGATCTCCATACTTTTGTCAGTGAGAACAGAGCAGACCAAGCCTGAGCTTTTCTACACTCGATGTCATGAGCTGTGTTGGTGTAGGAACCCATATACATGACGCAGGCCTACGTGACGCAGCAAAAAGTTCGCCCATACGATCCAAGTATATTTGATGCACAAAATCGTCGTTGTGCCTTATTTCAATGGGGAGCGCTGACAAAATCCTACACACTATATTAACTAAAAGTGCACCCTTCTCACGATTATTTACTCAGGGGAGACCGTTCGCATGTACGTCACATTCTTACATCCCCCCCCCAGGCGCGGTTCTAGAGCCAATATTTTGGGGGGCTAGCAAGGTGAATCCAGAATTTTTTCCAGGGTGGCGTGCTTAAATGTAGAGCGGTTATTTTCTCCGGACACTTAGGCCTCTGAAACTCAATGCGTGGGGGGGGGGGGGGGGGGGGGGGGGGGGGGGGGCTTGTTCATATTTTCTTTGGGGAGCGTTCGCTCGTACCCCCGCCCTGCAAACAGGACGCTGGGAAGAGCTGACGAATCAACGCTGCGATTGGATAGATTTTGCGTGACCTGTGACCGGCAAGGCGTCACGGCCACGACCCTGCAAGGTTTGAAACGGCCGTTAAGACTGAGTCATTCGTCACTCTTTTATTCTCATTCATAAATGCGGCGCCCTGTTTTGTGGGTTGAAAAGCATAATAATGTAGGAAAATCTGTAAAACTTATCTGTTTTGTAAATGTTCAACTCCCGCCAGTTGCTCAGGCTCCGTTTCGAATTCAAAAAGGGTCGAAATGCATATCATTCGACGCTCAAAATTTGTCCACATGGTCCGCAATGAAAAAGAAATCACATCCGGTATGGTGTGTATGTATTTCTATGGCAAACTTTTCGGATAGTATTTGCGCGCATTGGCTAACCGCGGTCTACAGCTGCAGCCAGATGCTTTATACAAAGGTCATGATAAATTACCCAGAATGCCATCACCACTTCCTTCACAAGATTCTGTGAAGCTCATCTGCCCTTCCCAGCGCCCTGTTTCCAGGTCGGGAGCACCGTCGAATGGGGAGCGCTGATAAAAACCCCCAAACACTAAAAGTGTACAAATGCACCCATTTAGGGGGAGACCGTTCCCATGTCAAATTCTTACATTTTGCTAGTACATTTTTTTTCGTGGAATTTTTTTTTAGGGAGGGGGCTAGACAAAAATTTTTTTTTTTTTTTGGGGGGGCTAAAGTCCCCCCTAGGGCCCCCCCCCCCCCACCGTAGAACCGCGCCTGCCCCCCCCCCCCCCCCCCCCCCCCCCCCCCCTAATCGCCACTGGGAACATTCAACGTTATCAGTTATTAAGCGAATTTTTTGAAAACGAAGCCGAGCTTTGAAAAGGGGCCGTCAATGTCGTCATGTTTATTTTTAGAGACTGAGGCTGCCTATAACCTACACTTTAGACGTCTGGGCGTGGGCGGAGGGATTGTCAGGTCAGGAAACCAGACTTCACGGGAACGATAGGTCCTCGCAAATTAAACGGTGCTGGCATCTTATACTGTATATTTTGATGCACGCGGCTATGGGTTACCAGCGATGCAACCACACCCTTTTTCACGAACTCGGAAATTTACAGCAGTAGGACGTCACCTCTTTATTCTACATTGCCAGCCTGCATCTTTGCTTGCCGACCCGCAGGTAAGTCTCCATTAGCCAATTAATTCATCCGACTCTTTTTACATGTGGTCTTTTGTGGTTCTGCATGAACAAATCCCTCATATTTTTAAAGTCACAATCCTCCGTCATTATGTGCGCCATGTTGTATTCTGGCGTGTATGATTAAATAATTTTGAAATAATTATGTGCCTGACTTTGTTTTAATAATGATTTTTTGCCCACAATGATTCTTAATTGGTAAAAACGTATTAGTGAGGAAAATACTTCCGAACGGAACTAAAATTCTTGGGTATAGTGAACACGTGTATATTTGTGGGAGTTTGTGGGAAGTTCATCGTATGCTTGGGTAACTGTAATGTACCACATTGGCATTATGGGGCCGCGGAATTTCCACTTTTCTCACAATCTTTATCTCCGTTATGAGATCAATTTTCATGATGGTCATCATAGCGTTATATTCGCATACGTCACTTTATCTTTAATCCGAGCAAGGAACACTGAATTTGATAATATTGAATTCGAGAGGAAAATAATATTCCTTTTCCAAAGGACATCACATAGGCCTATATTTTTTTATTCTTAAAACCCTGAAGCGAAAGTAATGCTGACGTTTTGCCAGTTCGCGATCGCTAGCCCTGTGGGAAGTTGTGTGGGGCGGGAAATCCCGGTGCCCGCACCCGTTTACTTGCAGTTCAGGGAAGCGGAGGGAATTCCCAATAATGCCGGAGCAGTCTCGTCTACATGAATCTCACGTTCCTCGTGATGGTGTTGAGCATATACGCTCTCAACACACACTGCCTGCTCTCTCACCCTGGTATTCAATTATTTGCATATTAAGACAATCTTGCACGTTTGTTTGCAAGTCAGGAATAGTCTGATGCCAGGCTTTACTTTCTTCTTCCAAGTTCTACGCCAACTTCATATTGTTGAAGACAAATGCACATGGTTGGGTGCGCAACTTGTGGATGGAATGCATAGCCAGTTCCAAGTTCATTCAGTCATTCATTCATTCATTAGTACAGGCAGAGAACAAAAGTACAGCATTAACAAAGACAGAAAATGCAAATACTAAACACAATGTCATAAGAACAGTGAAGCGGAGGGACCCGTAGGAAGCAGAGCTTGTCGAGTACGGGACCCATGGACAACACAGTGTGGAAAATAAAGATACTTATTTGATTATGTTCAGGTCAAGTTAAATTGGATAAGTTAGACGAAATATAAGAAACGAAACAATAACAATTACAGGGAAAAAACTAAATAAGCTGTGTCATTAGCGGAAGTACGTAATTAAAACATGAAATCAAACAAGCAAATATAACAAAAGAACTAGATATATATATAAATATATATATAATGTGTAGCAATAGCAAACAGGATTAAGCAGCTTGGCATAAGAAATATATAAGTTTCAAAAATTAGTACATAAGGTTTAATTAAACAATAAGAAATTTTTGAAGAGACAAAGAGTTTTGGCATCGTTATATGAAGGGAATTCCATAATTTGGGGCCTTGAAACTGTCTTGAATGTTTTTAGTGAAGTATTTGTACTGGAAAATGGGAGATAAAAATGGGAAGCCAAGTCAAATCCCAAGTCAAATTTTATCAAATCAAGTCTCAAGTCAATTATTTTCCAAGTCAAGTCAAGTCTCGAGTCAATTTATCACAAGTCAAGTCGAGTCCCAAATGAATTTTTTCAAGTCAAGTCAAGTCTCGAGTCATTTTTTTTTTAAATATAAGATGCACAGACTACTTACAGGGACCAGTTTATGTGTTCATAGTTCCACGATGGAGCCGCGCCAGAGTATAGGAAATATCCAATATACGACAAAAGAAAAATCATATACTTTCAAACATCCTCTCTCAAACACCTTATTTGTATCTAAAGAGTCTAAAAACGCATTTTGATATAATATTTTCATACTTGTTCCATCACGTTGAATGTTTGAAGGACGTCTGACAAAATGTCCTTCCGAACGTTTTCGTTTAATACATGATGTGAATTCTTGTATGTTGCATTATGGCGGATTGGAGGTAGGAGCTGATTTCCAGTCGTTTAAACCCTAGTTGCATCTACATGTAGCACGCTTACTGGTAAACCATGCACTCAATGTGTACGTGTAGCCTATGCATATGGTTACTAATGACCGCTCTATAACAACTGATGGTGCTCAGACTTCGCACGGTATAAACTTCACCTCGGGATTCCCAGCTATCGCATGCTGGTTGCTAATTCGCTATGCACTATCTGCATTCTTTTCAACCAATTATGTTTGTGCGCATGCAACGCCCCGAGGTTTGTGTTTTCTTAACTTTAAGAAATTTTTTAATGTCAGCAAGTCAAATTTATTCGACTCAAGTCAAGTCTCAAGTCTCATTTTTTTCAAGTCAAGTCAAGTCTCAAGTCATTTTTTCCCAAGTCAAGTCAAGTCTCGAGTCAAAAAAATAACGACTCGAGTCCGACTCGTCCGAGTCAGCGATTCGAGTCAACAACACTGTGCATAGCCATCACTGTTTGTTTTTGTATGGGGCGTCTTGGGTAAAAACCAACCAATTCGTTGCCGCGAGAGATCCAAAAACACGGTCATAAAAAAATACCCCTCAACCGCGAGGGGTAATGTCATCGCCGTCCGTCCGGGTAGCTTAGTTTCCGGATGATAACTTGAGTTAGAAATGTTGTGTGGGATTGTAACTTCTGTAGGGGGTTGCCCTTGAGAGTAGGCAAGTTCGAATTGGTTTGGGGTCAAAAGGTCAAAGCTAAAGGTCACCGTGGTGAGTTAAAGGTAAATGGTTTCCGGATGATAACTTGAGTTAGAAATCACATTTTGCTGTCTAACTTCGGTAGGGGTTGCCCTTGGGTACAGGCAAGTTGGGATTGGTTTTGGGGTCAAAAGGTCAAAGCTCAAGGTCACTGTGGTGAGTTTAAGGTAAATGGTTTCCGGATGATAACTTGAGTTTGAAATCAGATTTTGCTGTATAACTTCGGCAGGGGTTGCCCTTGGGTACAGGCGAGTTGGGATTGGTCTAGGGATCAAAAGGTCAAAGCTGAAGGTCACCGTGGTGAGTTTAAGGTAAATGGTTTCTGGATGATAACTTGACTCTGTCTGAGGGGTTTCAACAGTAACGCTGTTACTTTTTAAAGTTGGAGCGGACGTAATAACGTTAAAACACGTACAGTACATTGAACTAAATCACCAATATACACGATATAACACATTTTAAAAATCCTGATGTCTTTTCTGTCTTCACAAAACACCTCCCAACAACCCTTTTGGGCAAAACATGCTTTTATTTATTGTTTTGCCTACTTACACTGGCTATTTTTGTTAAGAAGAAACTCCGTTGTTTTTTTACAAGTTCGCTTCGCGATAACTAGTTCGCAATTCGATGATGTCGCGGTGATCGTGACGATAATTTATGTAACACGTGCGTACACTGTAAACACGTTGGGCAAAGTGGGTTGATATGTAGACCAACGTTGGTCAACATATCAACAGGTTAAACTCTAGGGCGAATTTTTTTCAATTGTTGGAAAATTTTTACCCAAATTTAGTAATTTCAAACCAATGTTGGGTAAAATTATATTGCCCAACAGTGTTTTACCCATTATTTTTTTACAGTGTGCAAATGCTGAATGCAGCGATGACGGTTCCCGCCGCGCCGCACACTGAACGGCAAAGGGCTAAAGAGGGCGTGTAGAAAATGCGGTAACCAGTCAATGCATGGGCGGTGCACTGCAGTTGCAGGTCGCACCAGACATCGTAAAAATGCGAAGGAAACACCGATGGAAAAAGAACAGTTTTGCAAGTTTATTCGCAGAACTTGATCTCTCTTGTCTGTGTATGTATTTTCCGTATTGATGAATTTATTTTGAGGTCGTACTACACGTACTTGGAGTGATACGATGCAGCGTGTTTCCCCGAAATTTCCTACCATAAAATTTTAAAAACGAGGTTATTCGCCCGCCACACACAGTATATTGCGCCCGCTTTACCGCGCGATTTATGGACAGCGTTGGCCTGTTTCCTGTCATGACTAGCGTTGTGCATAATGTGTGTGAGACCTGAATTTTCCATTATTTATAGATATAGTCCATCATTTGTAATTTTTGCATTTTGTGCGTTTGAAGCAACAAAAGTGCTCAAAATCTAAAGAAGGGTACTGAACAACTAACCTGATGAAGTTTCAGCTCAGCTTCAGCTGTATATTCCGAGAAAAACAGCATTCTAGGATATCAATTTCAAATCAAAAGTTGCTGAATCATGTTTTGAATTGGGCCTGAATTCAGCGTCCGTCCGGGACACGTTCTCACCGAGCCGATTGCAGCTATGTCGCGCACAAATCCGACGAATTATAGCAACCGCGGGCGCCCTTGTGCGTCGTGTCAACGCTTGAGCGCGCTTCGCCGAATAAAAAAACCGAACTACTATAGACCGCTTGCAGATGCGTTCGATAATCGACGCGCGAAGGCGCGCGACGCCATGTTGTGGGACAGGCGTATATCTACCCATGCACATTTTGTCTCATAACATGGCGTCGTGCACCTTCGCGCGTCAATATCGATCGCGTCTGCAAGCGGTCTATTAACGGAAATTTCCAAAATGATTACTTCAAAATGACAGCTTGCCAGAAAGAATAATTTTACAGGGAGTTTAGTCCCCTTACTATCGTTCAACCAAGTATGTTTTTCAACAATAAGTACGCCAGTTACTTTTCGGATAGCTGCAAATGATGGACTATAGCTTTAAGAACATCGACCATAAATATTTTGACAGTAATCAAGGTAAGTTTTAATCCATTTCATGGCCATTTTTGAGAGGCATGTAATCGGAAGCAGAACTATTTTGTTGGCCTTAATATTGGGGAAAAGGTTGTGTCTCCGTTGCGTTCCAGCAGTAATGCATCCAACTGTTTAGGTTGAGTGTTGTTTTCATTCAACAAGGTAAATCTAATCACATGTCCAATTTGACGTTTATCAGGGGTGGATCTAGCCTTTAGTCAAGGCCCACGCGTCTTGATCCGGACAAATAAATGTCGGCTATTCTGATAAAATGTATATAAAGACATTGTTTATAAACAACAATGAAAAGGAAAACGTAGAATTTAAAAACTGCTTTAAATTACCGTTAAATTATTTAAGAAAATTGGGAAATGTTTTAATGGATGATTTTGGAGATTTGTGTGACAGTTATTATCTTTTTGGGAAGAGAACAATTTACTTGGATTGCATTATATATGTCTGACTTTCAATGACAATAATAATGCCCCTGAAAACCGTTTTAAGAATTAAATTAAATGACACTCCCGTAACGTTCCGGACTTCTGAATGACCTAATTGACCAAATTAAATACATTGTGCTCTACTTTTGGTACCCATTTTGTTCAACATTGTGAGATTCTTGCGCCTTCCATAAGATTTTCAGATGCTGGATACGCGCGCCACTAGAGGTACAGAGCAAAATAACACAAATGTATTTGTTCTATTAAAAAAAAAAGAAGTTAGTGAATTGAAAGGCTGGGGAGGGCGTGCACCCCCCCCCCACCCCACCCCCACCCCCCCCCCCCCCGAGTAACCAACAGTACAAAACTGCATCTGATTACTGCGTATGACATACTCTGAGGAGGGACAATGGAGAGAAAAAAATGTTGTGGGTGTTGTCCCTTGAAAGCTGCTGTGAATTTAAATTAAAGGACAGCACAACAGGTACGGAAATAAGATGTTCAAAATGATCATTGTTCTGTTTGTTTGTTGACGAACAAAATAACACTCAAAGAGCTGAATGCAAGGGTTTTTTAAGCAACGCACACCAGCATTTTAAAACGGGAAATGCATGCTGGTGTGCGCGTTCAAAAATATCACTTTTGTGGACATAGAAATAATGTCTTTCCATACAAAGCTACGGAAAAAAAGGTGCGCGTAACGCAACTGTTGCCCCACGCGCTAAGAAATGGCGCCGCCAACAGCCTCGACTCCAGGGGCGCGTGCTCGTTCCTTACACTAACCCCTGGCTGTGATGATGACGTAAATGACACTGAATGGCTATTCACAGCGCACTGCGCGGGCATTTCGAAGATTTCACGCCCATAATGCGCTCGCGCTAGCGTGCTTAGCTTTGCACGTAACGTCACGTACGAAAAAAAAAATTATGATTCAAAAGTCGCGAAGCCTGTACGATATGGTTTATGTCAGCCGCGTTTTTCGCTAAAAAAACCCCCTGTATCTGTGGTTGAAAAGGCACGAAAGGGGTACGTACATTTAATACAAATCTTTGCTAATTAACACAACGTCCAAACGCTGTGTTTGAAAGGATTGATTCTTCAAAATCACAACTTTTAACATTTTAAAGATGGCGTCGGCACGTAAAACGGATAAACTGTAGCCCTAATTATAATGTACCGTATTGGGTGCGTTCGATTAGCTTACACGTGTATACGCGGGGTTACACCCAGGGAAAGCCACGCAATGAGGCTAATCAAACGCTGCAGTGTATTCGCCTATGGCATGCTGGGGAAATGAAGGTCAAAGGTGTTAAGGGGCGGGGCCAAATGTGAATGTACACACAACGTCGTCTGCTCACCGGGAAAATAGAGATGCGGCGATCCGGCTAATTTAATTAACTCTAGATCATTGCAATACGATAAATTAATGAGAGAATCAGTAGATTTGCTCTAAATTATCGACAAGTATGTCATAAAGACCGATGTAAACGTAAATTTCATCCTAAATCGTTTGGAATTCGTTCCAAAAGTTGAGGGATTTTCGGCTTGAAAGAAGTTCATTTCATAAGCTTGTTATTGATAAATTGAACTTAGGCCTTAATATCGAGAGTCGAGTCCATGACAACAAATTGCAGACAAAACCCGTCAAAAATATTGCCACAGTGTCTTTTTTTATATTTATCGACACACTTTCAAGAAATACATTTAGAAAAAAACTTCCATTTGCCTATTAAAGTATATAACTTATTGCTTCAGTCTACAATCATTGGACATTTCATAACTTGAAAAACCTTTTTTTCTTGCATATCGTGCTTCTCGAAATTGAAAATAAAAAAAATTGACTGTGAATCATCCATGGATTATAACTATTATTTCAGTTTTCATTGTTTTTGACACTCTAACTTATTTAGTGCTTACAAGATTATGTCGGTACATGATAAAGATTAATTTATTAGTAATTAATACCTCCTTTATTCATAAAAACAATAAGTAAATTTTCTGTTCAGGGAAACAAAAAAAAGCAACTGTTTAAAGATATGTGTATATAACCGACAAATAAATACTTCTTTAATATATGAACACATTATTTACAATATATCTGAACAAACATTGTATTGTGTGTTCGAGGGCTTAGGAGAAAAAAATGCACATACATTGTATTGACATGGATGGGACTCACGTCTTTGGATCTTCATAATAAATGGGTGTCTTGTGTACGTTCTTCCAGTCAAAAATTATTTATAAATTTATTATAAGGTGTTGAAATTTCAGAAAATCAAATTGACTCGGCCTTCTTGACTTAATGACTCAACTCAACAGGAGTAACTTTCTGATAAGGACTCAACTGGACAGTCTAATGAAATGTGTCCAGTTAGTTGTTTTTAGTGCATGAAAATGAATTTTAGTCGATGCAATCTCTCAATTGTAAACTGAAAGAGTCAAAGTTCAAGAAACCTGTGAGTAAATTTTTTTTAAAGAAATAGGCATTCCGGCAGCAAAGTACGTGTGAGGATAAACCCAAAAGCTTGAAAAGATCATATAGGAATTTCATCCAGGCCTGCACAAGAAAAGGCAACTCACACAGCAACTTCAAATGCCGTGGCTAGCCTGAGCCAGGATTTGTTCAGTAAGTTGGGGTTGGAGGGCAGGGGAAGGCACCATCTTGTTTTAAGGGGACACCAAGGGTGGACCCAAGAACATTTTTCCCCTAAATTTCAGGCCACTGCAGGTGCTGCAAATTCGAAAAGCAGGGCGGGGAGGGGGGGGGGGGGCTGGACCTCTTTTGACTCTTGACCGCTTTCTTTTTCACCGGTGAGGGCTTCGTTTCCTTGAACACCTCCAATAGATGAGATGTCTCTTGAAATCTGCAAAAATAAAAAAGAAGAAATGGGTGATATTTCCCACGGATTAAAGGAATATGACTATGTTTTACAATGCAATTGTGGGAAAAGAATATTTTACTGACAGTTTGTTGTGAACATTCACCTCGGTTTAAAGACTGTTTTCTGGATGGCTTCTATTAGAACCTCGACTTGGATCATCTGATATTTGAAGTGTAATAACTTTAACATTTTGTCAGACCATTTAAGCTACACAACTGCACACACTTGGGGTGCAATGCAAAGATGCTCTATTTGACCTTTCAAGTGACTTTTTCATGGAGCGCCTTGTACTACAAAATATCACAAGTGATCTTACTTCAAATGGAATGCCTTTCATACAAAGAGAAAAACAATGATTACTACAGATCTCTTTAAGCTTTTCAGTTTATCCTCACAGTTTTCTGCTGGAATGCCAATTTCTTTTTCAATTTTAGTTTTCACACCGGCTTCTTTACTTTGACTCTTTCAGTCTGCCTTCATACCTTGCCATTATTTTGATCAGTTGTCATGCTTCACCATCCCATCATTCATGTGTGGTAGCAGACGACGTGGTTTGTTATCCTGAAATCGAGGAAATCATGTATCATTAATGGCAAGATAAAAAGAATGCTACATTATGCAAATTCTAAGCAGAATATTAAATGTCAGTTGACTATCAGTTATTTTCCAACCATTTATCCTATTTAGAGATACTGTATTGACAAGAAAATCAATTCATAAAGAGTCAAAATCGCTCCAAATTTAAAATGCAAGTATCTGTAGCACAAGGTACTATTGCGGGTGACAGAGCACCTTCTGATTAAGAGAGAGTCTACTTAGATTTCCAGTGGAAAAAAAACTACTGTTGATTATGGAAACTTGAAAAGGTTTTGATGTTCTAATGTGACATATATTTGGATTCTTTGGATTTTTTTGTAAAAACCAGTGTTGTAGTACTTCTACTCGGTACTCGTACTTGAGTACTTCTCGAGTACATTTTTAAGTGTACTTGTACTTGAACTGGTACTCGCATGTCAAAGTACTCGTACTCGAAATTACGGTACTCGTACTCAGGCAGCAAAGTGCTCGTACTCGACATGTCGAAATTGTACTCGATCATCAAAGTATTCGTACTCGAGTAGCGGCCTTATCTTATCGATACTTATAGTTTGAAATGGTGGATTGGCTGCGTTTGTGGAGTAATCGAAGTTTCCTGATTTTCCTCTGTGCACGTCCGGACAAACACATTTAACAGCAACCCGTGAGTAGGTTTGTATTGCCCTATGGCCGTATTTGGAAATAGAAGTACTCGTACTCGTACTCGGAAGTACTCATACTCGTGCTCGTACTCGGAAGTACAAGTACAAGTGCTCGGAGACCTGTACTTGTAATCGGAAGTTCAAGTACTCATACTCGGCAACGCAAGTACTCGGCAGTACTCGGTACTCGGAAAAAAGTACTCGAATACGTACAACACTGGTAAAAATGTATTTCAGGTCATGTGGTAAAATGTTTGCTTTTTGGGGGGCAAAAATGACCCAAAATACAAAGATGAACCTTTTTTCAAAAAAATGGAGATTAATAAGTGTTTACATGAAGCAGCTCTTCATGATGTTTCATAAAACAAGTTTCGCACACTGAATCTGAAAGAAAACAAAGCAATAAACCAAGAAACATTCAGAGCTCTACTTTTCAACGGTAATTGGAATAGCATAGCTGACTATTCAGTATTTGCCCAGGCTGTCAACAGAAAAAACTTTAGGCCTATTGTCAGATGCCACATTTTGTTGACAGTAACTTTTTTGTTGACAAAACTTTAGGCCTGTTGTCAGATGCCACATTTTGTTGACAGTAACTTTTTTGTTGCCATCATTTCATTGTTTCCATCCTAGGTTAAAGCAAATGACCAGTTATTGTAAATTATTTATTGCAAAACACTCGTGTGGCATGCAAATTTTGGACAGGTACAGTGTACTTTCTGCAGGCAAATGGCCACTTGTGTAAAATTGACGCCAAGTTTTGAATGTTAAAATAGGTCAAATGCAGTTTCAAATAATCAAATACTAAATTTTTCGAAAATGAATGGCCTTAATTGTAAACACTAGTGTGTATGTGTGAACAATCATATTTAAATATGAAAAAACACAAATATTCAAAATTTTAACTTCAAGAATGAAAAATTCTGGAACAGGTTTAAGGTCAAATATTTAAAACTACTATAACTTCAGTTCACCATAATTTGTAGGGCAATACCCCCCCCCTCCCCGTGCCTTTAAAAATATGTTTTGGCTATCATTACTGCAGTCGTAATGCAATTTTCAACTACTATCATTACAAGGCAGTAATAACGTTAGGATTTTTAACTGTTGGAAATAGACTACGATGATATATCAACCGAATGGTTCTCAGGCTCTATCTCTCCCTTAAAACATCCTCCCAAGCCACTGATTACAATTACAACGAATACAATTAAATCTTTTTAAATACAAAGAATGATTCGATTAAAAACGTAAAAGTAAAAACAACCAGGAGTCTACTCTACTCTAGTCTAGCTATAGGACCCAGCATTATTATTAAACAGGAAAAAACTAATAAAAAACAAAGAAGGAAACTGCTGCAATGCTGAACGACAGTAGTTGAAAACTGCATTACGGCTGCCGTAACAATAGTCACTAAAATTTGAATTAATGTTAGGCTAACTCCTTTTTCTTCGAAGCCCGGCCCTGTTATTAACAAAATAATAATTGAGGTCTATATACTGAACCATCGCAAAGAACGTAGTATCATACTATCCAGACACCACTTATTTATATCATGGAGAGTTAAGTGCATTTTCAGACTCCTTGTTTTAACCATCGCTATTGTTACGGCAGCCATCCGGCCATGACCGGTCCATGGCTGGTGCCGTACCGCGATTTTCGACTGCTTTCGGTACGACATTGGCCTAGCTATAGCAGCCAACTGTCGGGTTCCGTCCCTGAAAATAAACGGACCATACAACTTGCACATCCTAGTTTCCAATTTATTTTGTCTGATAAATAAACTTTTCTTTCCATTTGCGTCATAATCTGTACATTTGTACTTACGTCGCGGCGAATTCTGCCCGCCATGTTTACTTTTTGCGAAGTCGGGCTAGCCCGTTACGTCATTACACCGGGACTTCCACCAGAGACCCGCTCGCCAGCTCGGGTAATGGTGTATGACACCGGAGCAGACACGAGAATCACGTGATGGCTAAATGAACGCTCTCGTGTAAGGGAAACGTGTAAGCTATTCGAACGCACCCATTATTTTGGTATATTTAAATTACACAATTCCAGGGGTTACGATCGCGCAAGGCATGATGGGAAACAACATGGCGCTGCAAGATCGTACCCACGGGGCACGAGGTTGCGCCGCCCATGGCAGAACGCGCGTCTGTACGCACTGCCGATCTAGTCGTTTTATTCTATATCTATGGCAAATGCATGCATAGATCAGGGTTCTCCCCAGGATTTTTTCAAACCTGTGGGGGAAGTTTTGTTGTGATTCACCAACCTGCGAAGCCATGGCGTGGGGTTCGGGGCCCGCTTAAGGGCCCCGAAAAATTTTGAACTTTAGAGGCTCTCTGGTGCATTTTAGAGCAAATCTGGGGAGTCTTTGAGGAAGATTTTCCCTTAAAATTTAGAGGAGATCATGTGATATTTTTTGTAATTAAAGAAAAAAATATATTAAAATTTTTAACTTAAAAAAAAAAATCAACATTTCAAAACCTGTGTTAAAACTTCCTGATCTAGAAAGTATGAATTATATTAACAAGCAAGTTTCAAATTAAGAAATTAAGGTGAAGAAAAATATCACTTTTGCTTCCGATTACATGCCTTTCAAAATAGCGTCGGTAAGTCGGAAAAATTATTTCGCCAATTTTTTGGGCTGCTGATTGAATCATGGAGGAATAAAAACACTTGATTGAATGGAGCATATTGAACAAGGAATCATGTAGTTTTGTGCCTGGATTATTTTCCTTTGCACCACGAAAATTATCAAGACTGACCGTCAAAAGTGATTAAAACTTGCCTCACCTAATTAAAAATATATGATTCCACAATATGTTTAACGTACATCATGGCCCCTGGCGCCGTCAACATTCAGTCTGGCCGGCTGTACATCGCGCTGTGCATTACTGAACTGTGTACGGCCCATCCCATGTGGCTGAAAATTTTGCACCACTGCTTCTAAGAAGCATGCTACGCTTACGATGTTTCGCCATACGTTCGAGCTTTGCAATCTCGTCATTTTAATGGAAAATACATACACAGAAAATAGAGATCACGTTCTGTGAATTAATTTGCAGAAATTCTCTTTCTCCATCGATGTTTGTTTGGTGTTTTTACGATCCAACTTCGGCCGAAATCATCATGTATGCACGTACAAGGCAGTAGTCACTGGTTTGCGGTCCTTCATCATAGCATTGATACTGTTAGCACGCGAAGGGAACCAGTGTACCATGCTGAATGCGCTAATACATGTATATAGCTGGGTGCTGGCGGTCGTCGCGAAAGACCCGTCATCGTGTGCATTTTGATCACACATGCAGCATCAGAAATACGGGATTTTTGTCAAGATTTTGAATGTCAAGATGAAATAATGGCGTATGAAACGATAATGTTGTGCATTTTAATGGCTTGTGTAATAAATTATATTGTGCGTATCGGGGGCTGAAAAATGTGATCGGCATTTTTGTCGGCGTATCGGGCCACAATTCCAGCGTATCGGGCCGATACGCACGTTTGTACGTGGGGAGAACCCTGTAGATGTAGAACATGCATGCTGGTGTGCGCGTTCAGCATTGCGCGTAGCCCGTATTGTTCCGAAGAGCCAGAGCTACAGAGTTGGGTCCAAGTTTTCCACCAATTTTGTATCGAAATAAAGGTTCAAGTTTATCAAATGACAAGGATCTATATGTCAGTTATAATTAATTACACAAATATTAAGTGGTTTTAAATTGTGAAATGGGAGGAATATTATCGCTCGGTAAAATTTTGATTTTTCCAGTTCACTCGGCTTCGCCTCGTGAATTGAAATGAAAAAGTCCAGATTTTACCTTGCGATAATATTCCTCCCATTTCACTCTTAGCCACTCAATATTTGTATACTGATTACTAGCGCCCATTGAATGAACGCTTGATGTGAGTCAGCTTCCGGTTCCATTCGTGCTATGCAACACCGTATGAAGAACACATGGTTGAATTTAGATGACTTTACACTAACTAACCGGATGAGAAGTCGAGCTAGCTGCCCGCGAAAATTTGAGACGATGCGGCAATAGAGGGCGCTGTATCGCGGAAAATTTGAATAAAAAAGCAACGACTAAAATACGTTCACACTTTACAATTCCGCCCAGTTTGTACACCGACCATTGCTATCAACTTATAACTGTCGCGGGGAATGTGGGAATCGTATATAAATGTTAAAGGTGTTTGTTTAGATAAATTGAAGACGGGTTTTTTATGATAAAAGTGATATTTTATATGATTTAAGCCTGCAAAAAGTTGCTTTAGGGCTACCGTGTTTGAAGTACACATTTTGATAATGGACAGCTTGGTTTTACTAGCGATTCACTATGGTTACCACCATATTACCATGGTTACCATGGTACTATCATGGTACTTTTTTACAAGGGTAAGATCGTAAATCGAGGGTTGACGAGAATATTACTCTCAAACGGTTTGAACGGGGTATTTCAGTCCAACATCCCTTTTGTTTTCTGTTTTAAAAAATCGCTCATGTTTTCCATTAAAACCGTACGCGCAAACACGTACATAATGCAAGCAATAAAATGTTTATTTTAAAACCATTTTTTGGTTATATATTTCAACACCCCAGAACCACCCCCCCCCCGCAACCAACATAGCCCCACCTCCCTTCTTGAAGAATTTTATAGAGAAACATGTGTATCATTGCTGCGTTTCTGATTATAATGATTAATTATAACTTCTAAACCTGTAACTTCCACTCATAAAAAAGTCGGTTTAAATATGTCATAATACCTTCTATATCGATAATACCTGTATTTTATTCATAGAGTATTGCCAAGAAGAACACGAACGGACGAACATACCTCATCTCGCAACTTTGAGCATTTTTGCAAGTCTTCGACACCGGCTTTAAAGGTGAAGAATTTCCTTTTCCGATTCGACACTTAATTCATTGTCACTGTCAAGGCATGCTTGGCTGCCTCCATTTTGAAAGTGTACGTATCTGGCTTAGACATTATTTCACGTGATATAAGGAAGGGATAATTCTCTTTTCAGTGGCAAGAAACAAGCGTTTGCATGTCTTGTTATTCAGCGGGGCATTGTGGATGAACAGAAACATAAATGGGTCATTCTATTCAAAGTTCAAAGTGTGACACATTCCTGATCCTGTTCCATATTGTGGTTTTAACCCTGTCGCTACACAGTGTTTTATTTCCAGATGTCTTCCCTGCCATTTCCCGCCTTCCACTCCCTTTATATTTTTTTTCTACTTTCCTTTACCCTCTTATCTCATAATTTGTCCCTATCCATTCACCTTCCAACTCTTCACTCTTGCCCTTCATTGTTCCTTCCCCATACAACCCCTTTATTTTCCCATGTCCCTTTGTTTTGATTAGTTTCCTCACTCCTTTGTTTTTGTGTGTGCGAGTCTTTTTCCTTTCCTTCTTGCTATTTATCTCTATTTATCCTCCAACATACCTTTCCTTGTCCTATCCGTTCAGTGTGGTCAATGTGTGTGTTTTAAGGGTTTAACTGTATTTTGAGAAACACTTTTAATATTTAATTTATTGCCTTTTCATTGAATGTTTTAATGTGTATTACTATCCGCTCCGTTCACAAACACCCCCTCACCGGCAAAAGAAGTACAGTTGGGGTGACCGACCGACACCATCTTGAATGACTGCGCAATTCATTTGTCGCGGCGCGCGGCCACTGCGTGTAAATAGAACAAATCCCCTGGTGTACATGCGTCACACACAAGAACACATATCTTCAACCAGCGTAATGTCCCGCCCAAGGGACGTCGTTGTTAGGCATTGATCTCCATACCATAGAGCTATATTAAATTACTAGAGCGCTAACTCCTGATTCTGCGCGCGGAGACGCTTTGAAGCCGTCCTTGGCGCAGACATTTTGAATTCATGTGCGTGTTTGTAGAACATAATGAAATTAGATGGATTGAATTTTGAAAGTGTACTCTACATGCAACGCGCAAGTAGGACACACGCAAACAACTTAAGCGCGTCACCGACGGTTAAAACACGTGACACGCTCATTTGCTGATCGTGCGTTTCGGTTTGGTGCATTGGCTTCGATAACGCATCGGTTTGGAATACAAACGCAGATATGCAAATAGCCGTACAAAAGCCGTACACAATTTCTAGGTTTCCATAGATTTGTGCACAAACATAGATGCGCCCAGCAGGCATTACTTTATACCCGAAGTTAGCGCTCTAGTACCATATACACAGACTATATATGGAGATCAATGTTGTTAGGTAAAAAGGCGCACTCTTTTGGTAGCGCACGGATCTCATATCGTCAGCAACACCATGAAGTAACACCCATCTTCATACCAGTAAAAAGTAACATTCGGAGAAAACGGCATCTAAAGTTGAACGCCTTCTAAAAACGACACTTTGTGTAAAAACGGCAGAGAATTTTCGGTGGGGTTTCTCTTTGTGGACACTTGATCAATTGAATTTATTAAATCTGCTCTTTTTCACCCGTTTGTGTAATCACCGACACCACGAAGTAACACTCTACCGTGTTAAAGCATATTTTTTTCGATTTTCAGTTTTTTTGATTTTTAAACATTATTCATCAAGGCCTACCATTGCACGAAGTTTCAAAGCTTCAAGAGCTTTACTTTAATTTACGCTAAGTATCCATGGCAACTTTTGCGCAAAAGTGACAATTTTCGTTTTTACGAAGTAACACTCAAGTTCCATTTTCCATTGCAATGCATTGCGCGCACTCTGCTCATAAGTGAGCAAAAACGTTTTCACGAAGTAAGGCCGTGTCCGAAACGGGCTTCCAGAGCTACGGCTACGTCTATTGTCAGCGCGTCCCCGCGTATTTTCAATGGGCGCAGACCTAGACCTAGCTCTAGCCAACTGATTCGGATGCAGCCTTCTACTCTTCTTGTAACAAGTTGTATGAGCGGGGGCGCGCTGACCTGAAGTTGCACTTTCCTCGTGTTAAATACATCACTGTTTTCTCTTATTTCTTGTTTATTTAATACACAAACGAGTGAAAATAGCAGATTTAATAAATTCAATTCATCAAGTGTCCACAACGAGAAACTTAAATGAAAATACTCTGTCGTTTTGACGCAAAGTGTTGTTTTAGAAGGCATTCAACTTTAGCTGCCGTTTTCTCCGATTGCTAGTTTTTACTGGTATGTAGATGGGTGTTATTTCGTGGTGTCGGTGACGGTATTAAATCAACAAGAAATAAAAAAAAAAATATGAGTGTTAGTTCGTGAAACCGAAAAAGCTGCGAAACTGTTAATTTTCGTTTTCACGAAGTAACACTCTTCAATGTGTAAAGCTGTCAGATTCAGGAACGGATCCCGGGAAAACTTCTTGTGAAGTTAAGGAGGGGAATTCAGTCTTGTACTAATAACAGTGAGGATACTTCAGTTGTGTGATGTTACAAAACGTCTTCCGACTTTATTACAACTGTGTCACAATTACGATGTACATCTTCTCTCTCCCATCGCCAAGAACCAACTCCCTTCCAAAATTCTTTTAATCACAAAAACGAAATCTATAGGCCCAAATATATAGGAGGACCCAGCACATGATACTTTACGTAAACGAGCATTAAGTTAACAGCACACTAAATGTACTTAGGTGTGTTTTGAAATTGTCTTCAAATTTCCAGGATGGCAGCGGCACCGCGTCAGAGATACACGTACGGCTATACCACTGTGCAGCAAGAACGGCAGCAAACTCTACGCCTTAATGTTGCAGGGATACAAGAAGAAATAATCACCGAATTTGAAAAGCAGTTAGTAAACGCGAAGGCAGAAGTCGAGGCCCTCGACAATGGCGACGAGGTGGACGATTATGTTGACCAAAAATTTGATATCCTTAATTACGAATTCAAGAGGCATTCTGATAACCTGAGGAAAAAGGTCAAGTCCAAAAAGCCTAAAAAGCCAAAATTCCCAGCTGATGCGAGCGAGGAAGAGGTGGCCGCAGGTTATGCAGAATACAATGCTGAAATGGCCGATTACAAAAGCTTTGTAGAATTTGCGGCAACCATAATCAGCAGGCTCACTGATTTCGTTCGAGATTTATTTGTCAAAATCAAAGAATTCTTTGCCAAACTCTGGAACTGGATTAAGAGCAAGCTTGCGGCCGTTGCGGAAAAGGTGAAGGATTTCATTGAATTTATGAAAACGAAGTTTTCGGGCTTGGTTGATTTTATTTTTGGCTAGCAACCATGACAAACTAAACAAAGTTCCGATATGACGACTTAGCGGAGGCAGGTTCACTGTGTGTAATGGCCCCATCCTTCATGTGTGTTAAATGTTTCAATTAACTACTTTCAGTTTTGCATTTTAATGAGAACAATTACTTAAATATGACTAGCAAATCAGAAGACAGTCATTTCGCCTTTCATTTTCCAAATTATGTTTTAACTAGTTAAGTGGTGGCTTTGTACATGACATTGTATGGAATGTGTTTAAAAGCTTGTTGTCTTTAATTTTCCCCTAAAATATCTGGGAGAGATAGAATCGATCACACCCTCTATATTTAACAATTTATTTTGTCAATTCAATGATGCACTTTGCCCTTGATTATTTTGTTGTACAAAATAACCCACTCGTTGACCCTCCTCAAGTCGAAAAAAATAACGAAAGCTGTTTTCAAAAGAATGTCGGCATTTTTCGCGATCCGTTTTTTTTCAAGTACATGTAATTTGATTTCGTTGCAAGAATTCCAAACGGCGCATTCGGGACCAATGTCTCTTATGAACGCTTTGCCTTTATACCTCATTCTAGACTTTGAGTTAAACCGTGGCACCATACTTGCAGTACTTACACAACTCTCATCTCGAAATTCCCCAACAGGATTGAAGACTAGTTTTGACTGCAGTGTTTCAAGAAATGAAAACAAATAAACTTTGTTTTATTTCTCGAAACACTAGGAGGGAAGATCGAAAAGCTTTCTCAACAAATTCTGGCATTGGACATGTTTTATAAGCTTTAACAAGTTGTGATGATTAATTCGACGTGAAACAACGTTCATATCGTTAGAATTCTTTAGATATGAGCTTGTAGAAGTGAGGTGTTAACCACTATAGATCACAAACAGTTAAAATTCTGTTTTACACCACGTTGGGGTTATGCATTGCCTTATTACTCAGAAATTATATACAACGTGTATCAATTATGTTTTTTTACTTGTTGTTTGCTCTTTATTTTTTATCATAATGAGTAGTGTAATTAACAACATTAAGTCCTGTAGATCATTAACTGTATACTATTATCATTAACTGTATAGTGTCATTAGGTTTGTTTCAAAATTCTACCGTATTGTCAAGGGGTTATTTCATTCCGATCTTTCTTCTTCATATCCCACAAAGGAAAAATCGTGAATTAAAAAAACAACCAACTTCCGGAGTCAAAAGTCACGGAAATCAACAACAACTCCTCAAACAACTGCGGTTGACTTTGACAAAGCAAACCCTGTTTACAATAATATTTCATTATTCATCAATTTTGTTTATAAGAATACGACTGAATTTTTTTCAATAAGTGAGTGTGCTGGCAGTTTAATTTGAATCTAAATGTAGATGTCAATCAAGCATAAAGCCTCAAGCATAGTCTGTCACTTTTCATCCAAAATTTAAAATAAAATAAAAAGGTTTTCCCGGCCAGTTTCCTGAAATGTTCATTCACTTCTTAAAATCGGTCATTCATTTTCATCTGAATATGAATGCATGTCTATAATCCCATTTCAAATCAATCGTTTCCGTTGTCCGTTCATTCGGTTTTGAAAAACAGACGGCCAATTACGTTACCTGTGCATTCATTTACGCAACCTTTTCGCGCAGAGTTCTGGCCAGGAATATAATTTCGTGAATGTGCAATTAAAAGTACATTCTCATTCAAAATAGCAGATTACATCACAATACATTAAACTAAAAGTGAAATAGAATGGTCAATGTTTGATATCGCCCTCTAAAAGCAAAAAAAGACACGAAAGGTGCTGCTCAATCACTTAATTGATTGAACTGCAGTGGAATGAAATGCTCTGGTAGCGGAAAGGAAACGCGTATTCAGAGCGATTCTCAAATAAAGACGAAAATGAAAAACGATTTTCAGAAGTGAATGAACATTTTAGGAAATTGGCCGATCGTTGAAAGCAAGTTCGCATCTTCTGCCAATTTCAAATAATAAGGCACTTCCGGTTTCGACCGGAAGGAAGGGTCACGTGATTTTGTACTTAATACCAAAAATGAAGACCCTGCTTTATTGTATCGAATGCCATAAAAACAAAATCAAGTCTGTAGCAGTTGATTTTATATTGATTTTCAAAGATTAAATCTAGACATTTTTGATTGCTTGTAATATGATACTTGATGACGTCATTGTGACGTTTTTACCAGAAAGTTCAAGAGCTATTTTAACTGTGCTATATATAGCCAAATCTTGATTATATCTATCACAGTTGATTTTTTAGCAATTTTTGAAGGTTTAAAGGTATTTTTATTGTAACTTCCGAACGGATGACGTAATCAATTTTTTTTCGCGCAGAGGTCTTGTCTGCATTAAGGTCATCATGAAAATTAATTTTGAAGCGAATACCGCAAACTTCGCCACAGACATCAAGTGGAAAATGCGTTTTTGACGTTTTTTAACCTGCCGCTAGAGGGCGCTCCAACTCTTCATGGCGTCGCCCATTATTTTTTTTTAAAGGTCAATCGAGGCAGACACCAACATCATTAAAAGCAAGTTCATATCTTATCCCACTTTCAAATTATTAGGCACTTCCGGTTTCGACCGGAAGGAAGGGTCATGTGATTTGACGCGCACAGGTTAAAAGAAAGAGCATGTATAATCATGTCGATTCCCGCAAAATTCAAGTTCCGGTATCTCACGGTTGATTTTATAGTTAATTTCAAAGATTAAATTTATTATATTTTGAAGTGACGTCACGTGACCCATGATGACGTCATGATGACGTAATTACAAAAAATACATATGCAGTGGGTTGGGCATTTGGGTATTGACAAATGAAGTTCATTTATGTTTCCATTTTTCCAAACAGTTCCGGAGAAGAATCTGTCTTGAATAAAAAAAAAAGAATATTGAATTCATAGAATAACAGTAGGTTTTGGGCTGAATCCCAACACCTAATAAAACACACATACACACAAATTTAGATATTCCTACAAAAATACCGTTTCTTACCGTCTTTGACAATAGTCTGGTACACCGTGTTGACGCAGCAAGGCCAAATGCTTTCTGAAGCCGCGCTACCGTACCGTTACCATCCAATGCGTTCTTTCGAAATCTTTGCTTCGTCTTTGGCTTTGGCTTTGCCTCCGACTTCTGAATCACTGAGAGGCAAACTAAACAAAAATATTCCAACTTTTGGCTTCACATCAACCGATTGAATGTTCCTGAAGCATAACAGGCACCACAATGTAGCTGGAGATCCAGAAGTTGGGGGCTTATAATCTCCTTAAGCCGACGACGAAGCCGAAGCCAGTCGTTTCGAAAACGCTCCTAATTCAGGTCAATGCACTTATTCTCTCCTGATAAAGAGGGCGCTCTTTCTTTCACCACTGGCAAAATTAATGTGATATGTCATGCAGGTGACTGCGGCGGCCGGCCGGCCGCCCGCGCAGCATCATTGTCAGAATGAATGCCGAGCCGCGGATGATCCGTAACGGGTGTGTTTTTATTCCTCCATGGTCGATCCCACCGCAATACATGTGTATTATAATTGCCTCCTCAGATCATCTTCGTTATGAACCTCCAAGTCTCATTTTCAAATCACAATGTCATAGTAATTCTTTTTCTTTTCAAAAAGAATGTTTTTACTACACTTCCAATCCTGTATTTCTGAACGCCAGTTCCCAATTCTTTACACACAAAAATCTGTTCTTTTATCATGTGCGAATAAATCATATACTCATTTTTTTTTCATAACACCAATTCCATAGATTGTCAATATATTGTTAACAATTTTTTTCAAACACTTTTCACACGTCAATCTTAGTAAATATCACGAACTGAAATGCTAAAGTCAATGTCTTTTATTATTTTAATCGGATTTTAGGTCAAAGCTATATGACAGATGTTGACGTCATATGACGGAGAACCCATAGCCCTAATTCAAATGACGTCATGATGACGTCATCATGCACGCGTGTCATGTGATATCACATTGGAAATACATAATTCAAAGCCCTATGAGAATGTACTAATCACATATTATATGCCACCATTTCCCAATAATTATCTACAGAACTAGGACTAGAACTAGGCCTACACAAAAAAGTCATCCTTCCTGGAAGGAACTTATACTTCAAACTTTACAAAATGACATGACAGAAAAAAAGGTACCGAAACAGCCCTGTGTTTGTCCACAAACATAAGTCTAGTTTCTTATTTATATTAATGATATTTGTAATTCTACTCGACTTCTGACGTTCATCTTATTTGCAGATGATACAAATATAGTTTACAGTAGTAAACATTTGAATGATGCTGTTGACATAATGAACAATGGGCTAACTAATGTATTTGAGTGGTTTGTATTTAATGAAGTATCTTTGAATTTTAAGAAAACACATACGATGGTTTTTACAAATCGAATTGTAGATAAAAGTATTCAGATTCGTTTTAACAATCATCATATTGAAAAGGTTGATTCCTGTAAGTTTTTGGGTGTCATTATTGATGATAAGTTAACGTGGAAAAATAATTGTCAGAAAGTCCTTACACATATCTCGCAACCTTGGCATTCTTAGATAACTTAGATATTTTTTCCCATCCCGTACTCTTTTTTCAATTTATAATACGTTATCCTTACCTCATCTTTAGTATGGTATACT